TGTGTGATATGCTAAAGAGGTTTACAAAACTCAATTCACTAGATTGGCCAGGCGTGGTGGCTCACGCCTGTAATCCCAGCACTTTGGGAGGCCGAGGTGGGCGGATCACGAGGTCAGGAGATCGAGACCATCCTGGCTAACACGGTGAAATCCTGTTTCTACTAAAACTACAAAAAATTACCGAGGCATGGTAGCAAGTGCCTGTAGTCCCAGCTACTCGGGAGGCTGAGGCAGGAGAATCGCTTGAACCCGGGAGGCAAAGGCTGCAGTGAGCAGAGATCGTACCACTGTACTCCAGCCTGGGCAACAGAGCAAGACCCCATGTCAAAAAAAAAAAAAAAGAGAGAAAGTGATATAGATTGAAAGTGATATAGATTGTCATAGTTATATGTCTTTAAATTGAATTTTTCTGATTATAAAAGTAAATAAGTGGGTCATGTGGTATTTACATTTCTCAAAACTTTAGGTAAATTCTACCCCAGAAGAAAACAAAACTGCAAACACATACTGAACTCTAGTAAAAATATACACAATGAAGTGTTTAAGAAGGAGCATATTGATGCCTGCAACTTATTTGAAATATATCAAAAATGAATTAATAAATGGAAGGTTAGACAGCTGCATACACATCTTATAAAGCAAGTATTTATATTAATGATAGGCACTAGATGGTAGGTATGCAAATATTTACAAAACTTTTTCACCTTTATGTTTGAAATTTTTCACGATAAAATGCTGCGGGGAAAAGAAATGTAAAATCATCATAGGAAAATATGAAAAACAAAGTACAGTATAGGAAAAATAAAAGCACTATACAGACATAAAACCTACACCTGGGATCATATTGTATATAATGTTTTGTAACTTCCTTTCACCACTTAGCACTATACAATGAGCATTTTCCTTGTTTTCTAAATGTTCTTCCAAATGGAAGAGAAATCAATTACATGCTGCAACATAGTTTGTAACTTCCAATTCTTCCTTGTTATACATCTGAGAAGAATCCTATAATTATACCCATCTTTCTGCACATCTCTGATTATTTCCTTAGGATAAAGTCCCAGAGTAAGATTCCTGGCCCAAAGAAGTAAACATTTTAAGATTCTTGATACATTTTGCTAAACTCTTCTCCAGAAAGGTTTACCAATTTACATTCCTAATAGCAGTGTATCACAGATGCTAGCTAACCAGACCCATGAGTTTACATTTCAAATTAAATGCTTTCATAAATAAAATTTCTCTATAATTTCTGCCAAAAAGACAATGTTCTTTTTAAAAAAGTCTAAAGTAAACAATCCTAGTACCCAAATCTTGGCTCCTAAATAATATACTCCAAAATCAGGTCTATTGACTCAGGGCTTCTTGAAAACATGGCTGACTCCAGGAATGAGACAGGAAGTAAATGAGCCTAGTACATCTTTTTGTGCCTGAAGTAAGAAAATCATCAAAAAATGTTGGTGACATATCAAAAGGACACAAGAGTCAGCTGGAAAGAGCTCTTATTTGCGAAATTTGGGATAAGTTAAGCATGAAAATGAATAACACTAATGGATTATAACATTCTGAATTCCAAAAAGTCTTTAAGTATACAATCAAACAATAACTACACAAATGGATGGATGAATAAAGGATGAAAGGAAAAAAGAAGGGCAAACTCACTTATGCTAGAACTTTTTACTTTCTGCACAGTAAACCATCATAATACTATTTGATCCAAACAAGAATCATCAATGGATGCTAAAATCATTAGTAAATGTTTGCTGAGGAAAGATGTTTACTTAGCTTCAAAGTATCTACCAATAGCTTAATTATTAATTACAAAGGAAAAATAGGTACTTTCTTTTACTGTGGAGAAATTGGGTAAACCCCTCTTAACTAAGGATTCAAAACTAACATCACCAATAATGAGACTAACCAACATCACAAGACACCCATTAAGACACACCAAGGACACATGACCTATGTAGTTTTCCTCCCAAAACTACATAAACTCTGACTAGGCTGGGGGCTGGAGGAGGAAATCACCCCCCCAAATGAGAGACATTCTACAAAACAATTGTCCTATACTCTTCCAAAATGTCTACATCTTAAAAGACAGAGAAAGGCAGAGAAACGGTTCTGGATTAAGCTAGGCTAAACAGACATGTTGATGACATGCAATATATGATCCTGGATTGGATCCTGGGTTGGAAAAATTGCCATCAAAAGCTCGCATTGCAAAAGTTGGCAAAATGTGAATATAGACTGTATAACAAATAACATTACTGTTATCATTGTTAAATTTTTTGAATTTGTTAATTGTACTGTGGTTGTGTTTTGGGAGATGCTGAAGTATTTAGGGATAAAGGTACATGGCATCTATAATGTACTCTCATGGTTCAGCAAAAATCATACTATATATGAATACATGTAAATCAATAATAAATAGAGAAAAAGCAAATGTAAAACGTTACTAAATGGTGAGTCTAGGGGAAGAATATAATGTACTAGAGTTCATGGTAGTATTCTTTTAATTGTTCTCTAGATTTAAAAATTTTTTTTAAAAAGTTTTAAAGAGCGACAGAGATTTTAAGTAAATACAGTCTTTCTTTTTTGTTTTTAAATAAAGTAATATTATAACCACTAAAACAGAGAAAAGTAGTACATACTCATCACACTAGAGGTCTGCAAATAAAGTGAAAGTAAACAGTCTTCCTTTCTCCACTCACATAAACAAAGTTAGAGTTTGGTATATATTTTCTCCACATTTTGCTAAGTTTATAGAACATATATTTAGTCTAATATTAAGTAATTCTTAAAGAGTCACATGAAATGAGCAGCAAACATTTTATTAAGTGTTCCATTGTCTCTAAAACTCATTGGCAAAAAACAACCAAGTGACGTGGAACTGGATCTATAAATTTGGAAAAAATCCAGGGTTTATTACCTTTATCTTATCACTTAGAAAACACCTAGCCAGAAGCCAACATACATTTCATAAAGTATAAAATTATTTACATAAGAAATGTATATTTCCTTGTTAGTAACTGTCAACTCCTCGCCATAACTTTTTACGTCTTAAACTCATGTTGTTTTAGTACAAATGGGGATCCTTTGCCATAATTTACTGTGTCTCTTTATCACTCATAATCACTGACTAAGCCCCAAAGCAAAAGTGGAGGTTTTGTTTTTCCTACTTAAAGGTGTATGAGTTATGCTCTTACAGTTTACTGGAATCAACTGAATTTCTGAATTATCTACATTCATGTTAAATACCTGCACAAAAGCAGGATTTGGCAGTTTCCAATTCCTGCTTTCACTCCTGTACTTTCCTATGTCATTTTCCTGGCTCTCCCAAGAATAGAAGAAAAGGTATTATGTAGGTATACTTGGGTAGGGGGGAGTGGAGTAAATGGGTTACAATTAATATTTTCCTATCAAAATCTGTTTCATGTCTCATAAAATCTTTCTCACACCGAACAATCATATAAGAACATGTTCCTTTCACTAAAGTTGTATAATCTAAAGCTTAAAATATTAGCATATATATAAATAACTGACTATAAATGGATGGAGCAGGTTTAGTTTTCTCTTCATACCTGGTCAATTAGAGGTTTCAAAGTTAGAAACTAAAGAATAGGGTTCTAGCCTCCTGGATTTCATTTGCCCCTCCTGGGGCAGCTTAATACATTTCACGATCTATAAAACGCAATCTATAAAGCTCTATTTCCCAATCTATAAAACGGGGACAATAATGCTTCCTATAAAGGACTTAATGAATTGATCAGCTAAAAGGGCTAGATTCAGTGAAAGGTAAGACATGGATTTCGTACTTGGCTACTATAAAAAATTTTTGCTGATTGAGAAATGGGGGCAAGGGAAAGTGACTTTCTTATATCCAGTACCCTTCTGTTTTGTGTACGGATGGGCTTTAAAAGCTCTCATTTCTTAATACCTTCCAAAAACCTATAGATACACCAAGGTAGAGATATCTCAGTCCTTCTAACCTGACTTCAACAATTGGAAACACAGCTGGTGATCACACAATTACATAGCACTGCTGGGAGGAAACCCACAAAGTGCTACCATTTGGGTTTCCTTCTCTAATCAATTGCTATGGTTCACTGGCAGCAATTAACGAAAAAAATGAAATCATTCAGGGAGATTAAAGGATATTTATGGGAAAGTTCACTTTAAAAAGATATTGAACAATAATTAGCCAAAACAGGACATAAATAGAAATGACCAAAACCAGCTCCAGAGGGTCGCTACTGAAGTTATCAATGCTGCTGAGTCCCTGCAGGTCAGCTCTGCAATTAGTTTTATTCTCATGGTACCAAACTGAATGTGACAACCATGTTATATCTCATTCCTGATAAGGATGAAAGTTCTAAGAGCTCTGAGCTCATCTAGGACCAGCATAAATCCCAGGCTCCGAAAGCCAAGACCCTTTTCTGATTTTACTAGCAGGGCAGCTCTCTGTCTGGCACCTATTACTTCTATATAATACAAAGCCCATCACTGTTAGCCTTAAGTAGAGGTGAAATCCAAGAAACAGGTACTGCATATTTCAGTTAAAAAAAAATATGCCTTTTATCTTTTAAAAGACAATTGCTGATGACCAGAAGTTCAAGCAGAGAAAATGGAAAGGGTATAAAAACTTTACACATTACTCTTTACCGACCCCTCTTGGCTGCCCTAGGGAAGAGAAACGTTTGAACCCTGGGAAGGTCTGAAATCTCACCTCTGCCTCCAGGAGAGCTCAGAGAACATTCGGTCTTTCACGCCCTGGAAAGAAATCCCCTTACTTCAGCTGACCCCTAGTAGAACTCAACCCTAAAGCACACGCTGCAATAATTTCTATTTATGGGGCTCCCAGAATGGAAATTGGGAACGGCCTCATGGATCAGCCCCAAAGGCCTTGCAAGATCCGTTGCAACCCTGTGACCCTCTAACTCGAGGTTGAGAAAGTTTACATAAGTGGTATCGTGACTGTTTCTGTCAGCTGGAAAAGACCTTACCTCTTTCTCTATTTTGAGGAGCTTCTTTACAGCCACCTCCTTGTCCTGTGATATCCATTTGGCTCGATAAACACTCCCGAAACTTCCTCCACCGCAGTTTTCAAAAAACTGCAAGTCATCAAATTTAATTTGCACAAAGGAGGCACCGAGAGACGACATCTCATAATGACAAAGTATTATACTTCCACAAAATCTGCAGAAAGAGAGAAAAAGAAAAGCTGAATTACAAATATATTAGGCTAAATCCTCTGAATCCTACTTTAGATAATATATCACGAATGAGTCCTGTGAAACTTCCAGAAAGTCATGGTGACTTAGGAAGAAGAAAAGCAAGATTATAAACAAATCGAAATGAAAACACTCACCCTGGCAGCCCACGCAAAATTCAACAACAACCTGCCCAGACTTTGAAACCCAGCTGTCCACGGAGAAATGGCTCAGATTTCCCCCTGACAAAACCTGCAGCAGCACTACCCATCCCGAGGAGCTCTGCCGAAAGGCTACTGTGTCACCAGGTCTCCTATCAGGAAGCCCTGACAGGCGGGAAGCATGCTTTCCACAGCAAGCTTGCATAGCTCCCCTGGCATCTAAGGCATGCCACCTCTCCACGCTGCGCTCACTTCACACAAAATATACACAGCCTAAGCCGCTGAGCATCCTGGTACACGGACAGCCAAAGGGTTGCAAACCGAACACACAATCAATGTTTAGACTCCAAAAACAAACTTTCAACTTAGGGATAACAGAAAAGCTGGTCAAGTGTTTGCCAGAAGTGGCTCCCTGGACTGTATATTGTAACAAAACTTAAAGAGTAGAAAAATTTGCCCTTGATTACAATATATTAAGTCATCCAAAGAATACTGCCAAGGACGTTAAAAAATATTATGCTTGTTTCCAGAGAAACGTATTACCCCTCCCAGAGATTATTCTAGTGATCTTTCCTACGGTCTAAAGAGTTTTACTATTCTCCAGGTAAGTGGCCATTCTTAACACCCTATGCCAAACCATAGATTAATGAGACTTACAAACACAAAAACTGAACTAAAATTGGGCTAAAATTTTGAACCTACATAAAAACTTTAAAAATGGTGGATAAAAAAGTTGGTGCACGTATTCTTGCAAAAAGCATACACCAGAACCTTATGAGGGAGCAAAAAGACAAATCTATATTTCTAGGACATTCTACAAAACATCTGGTCTAGGCTCCTCATAATTGTGAATGTCATGAAAGGTTTTTTTGTTTTCTGTTTTGTTTTGCAGAGAAACTTCTAGCATAAGGAAAACTTAAAGAAACACAATGACTAGGCTGGGTGTGGTGGCTCATATCTGTAATCCCAGTACTTTGGGAGGCCAAGGCAGGTGGATCAGTTGAGGTCAGGAGTTCGAGACCAGCCTGGCCAACATGGCAAATCCCTGTCTCTTAGCCAGGTGTGGTGGCAGGCACCTGTAATTCCAGCTACTTGGGAGGCTGAGACACAAGAATTGCCTGAACCCAGGAGGCGGAGGTTGCAGTGAGCTGAGATGGTACCACTGCACTCCAGCCTAGGCAAAGAGCAAAACTCCATCTCAAAAAAAAAAAAAAAAAAAAGAAAGAAAGAAACACAATGACTAAATATAATGTATGATCACTGGATTCTGAATTAAAAAACTATAGAAAATATTATTAGGATATTAGGGAAATCTAAATATTAACTATACATTAGATGATATTAATTCATCCATGGCAAATAATGGTATTTTTGTTTTATAGATGGATGTCCTTGGATGTATTGCTTGGGAAATGCATGTAGACATTTTAAAGTATGATGTCTATAATTTACTTTAAAATGGTTCAGTCCTCATCCCTGTTCTCCGACACACACACCCAAAAAAGTACATGGGAATAGAGAGAGGGAGAGAGAAAGCAAGTGTGCCAAAATGTTAAGAACTAGCCCATCTAGGTGACAAGTATCTGGGCATTTTACTACTCTTTCCATTCTTCTGTTGAGGTTTTTTTTTTTTTTTTTCAAAATAAAAAGGTAGAAGGGGTTGGTTTGTATCCATATAAACTGGCAACATTTCTCCATAAAAAGCCTGGGACTCTGCTGAGTAAAGTGCACAGGCAGCTCAAGGATCTTAGCACGCAGCTGGCTAGCCATCCCATTTCAGGAAAATCAGGTCACTGAAGAATGCTCATTTCTCACACGAAGTCAAACGCTACTCTACTTTGGGGAGAAGGCGAGAAAGAGGAAAGGTTATTTGTTCATCCTCTAAAGTTTAGAAGATACACTCCACATAAAAATATGAGTGAAGGAAAGATCACAGTATCCAAATATAGTCTATAAACATATATGAATCAATAGTTTACATTACCAACATTTTGTAATTCCTATTTAGTTAAACATGGAAAAGAACAAAATTTGGATAAAATTTGGGGATGTTGCCAAGGTAAGTATATAGAGTATGCAAGCTAAAAAGTTTGCTCAACCAAATGTCAAACACCATTTGCAAGCATTACAGACACTAGGTTTACATTTTTGTTAATTATTTTTATAAAAGCATTACAATGAAATTGAACTACAAAACTTATCATAAGAAATAGAAGCTTCTTGCTTCCCCATTCCCCATACCCAATTCCCACTCTCTAGACACAACTAATTTCAACTCCTTTAGCATTTTCTTCTGGCACTGAACTCTGTATTTCTAAAGAATGTGCTTACATTACTATTTCTTGATTTTCCATTTCAGATATTATCTATTAACCTCTCCTGTGGAAGACAAGAATTTAGTTCTCATATATCACCCTCTACCTCCATGCATACAAACATGGCACACTTGCCCAAACCTCCCAGCTTCCAACCACACTGTAACATTTGGTTAATAGTGTTTACAGTAACCCAACAAAGTAAACATTATTCCCAGCAGTGCCATGGAGGATTCAATAATTACATTGCCTTTCTTGTATAACTTTTTGATTCTCTTAGAATTATTAGTTGCCCTGTTTTTGCTTTTTTACTGTTGTTTGCTTAGCTTTTTACACTCCTAACACATCCACCTCATTAATCTCTCCCAGAAGCTGCAAAACTTCTCTCAATAAAATTAAGACAAGTAATTTCTCTCTTTTTTTTTTTTTACTCTTTGGTTCTATATATTTTTTAGAGACACTCCTTCTTGACCCTTCATCCTGATTCAGTCTGGCTGGAATGGTTGCTCTCTAGGCCTGACTTGGACTGGGACTCCTGTTGGCTACCATCCTAAGAATTTCCTTCATCTTTTTCGTCTGTGAGAACCTTGTCTTTGGATTTTCTGTCTTCCCTTTCTTGTTCTGTTCCCTTGTTTTGACAACACATATCTCTCATTAGCTACCTGAATAGAGCACACAGAATAGAATTTTGTGAGAATCTGTGTATCTTAAAATGTCTTGATTGGTAGCCTGGTTGGGCATACAATTCTAGGTAGGAAACAATTTTCCATATAATTTTGAAAGTATTACTTCATTTTCTCCTAGTTTCTAATGTGGCTACTGAGCAGTCGGATGTTACTGATTATTAACCATTTTTATATTATTTTTTCCTCTCTGAAAGCTTTTAGGATCCTCTATTGATCCCAGGAATCCTGAATTTTAATTGGATATGTTTAGGAATGAGTCTTTTTCATTCACCGGTAGGACACTCAGTGAACTCTTTCAATCTGTAACTCAAGTGTTCTAATTCCAGGAAAGTTTCTTGTGTTATTCATTTACCACTTATAGCCACTTTGACTTGATGTCATCTCATTTCCCATACACACGAAGAACTGCCTGCATTTCCCAATATACACTGACCTCTGACATCTCCACACTTCTACACAGACTAGTGTCTCTGCTTCAAACACTCTTCTCTGCCCAGTGAACTTCTATCCCTGACCACCTCTCTGAGTCTCCCGAGCACAGTTAAATGCTCCCTCTTCTGTGCCACAGCACCTTTCTTCACCCATTGATGTTTCCCACTTAATTCCCACCAGACTATAAATTCCCTAAAGTCAAAACTCAGTTCTGTTTACATCTGGACCCTAGCACCTACTACACAGCCAGGTACACAGTTATGCAGCTTCTCCATTAAAAACGCATTTGTTGAATAGTGAGTAAATAGTTTCTGGTTATTCTTCCATTATACCTTTTGTAGCTGGAAAGATTTCAACCAAGTCATGTAAGACGTAAGGTGTGTAATTTTTACAAGTACCCCAGCGGGTTCTGAAGCAAATCCTGATGTGGAAATGCTGCCTAGGCTTCTTGGAAGACTGAGGAGAGTGTATTTGGGACCTCCAGTACTGGGTCCCTCTGAATTCCAGGGTCAGGGAAGAAGGAGGAGGAGAGAAATTCTTTCCAAAACAAAGGTAGAGGTCTGAAGCAGGATAAGATCAATATGAATCCATCTAAGCCTTACGCTGCGGAACAAGCCCAGGGAATACGGATGAACTGAGGTAGGATCAGTCACAACTGACACTGACCTAAGGGTCACAGAAAAAGGCTGACCTCTGAGAAGCACACTTCTCCAGGATGTCACCACTTGACAGGAGGCAACTAGCCACATTCTTCACAGAATCACTGCTACTCTGTGATACACCGTGCCATGTGGGAACTGGCTATTTGTGAATGGAACTATCCAATTACTTGAATGTTTTATTGAAACCATAAAAAATTAAGTTCCAACTGAATACCAAAGAAACTAGTAATCTAGGGTGTATGAGTACAGGTTTAACTCCAGTGAGCTTGGCAAAGCATCATGGATGTAGCTGAAAAACTTGGTTGAGATTTCCACTCCCACATACGTGAAAGTTAGACCATATATACATATTTTTCCCCTTGAGTTTTCTCTCCTTTAAGAATCATTTTTCCAAGGGGATCAATTTATGACCAGAAGAATGAAAAATCTGAGTGGCTAGTTATTTATACATAGAGCATGTTGGGGAAGACTGCTACTTGATAAAATTATGTTCTAATTTTTCAAATGTATTCTGCACTGAATGAATATACCAGAATTCAATAAAAAGTCATCTATATAAATTTATTTACAAGGTATATCAAGTCAAATCCAACATTTTCATCTCACTGTATTAAAATAATTGTTTTTGCCGGGTACAGTGGCTCACGCCTGTAATCCCAGCACTTCGGAAGGCCGAGACAGGTGGATCACTTGAGGTCAGGAGTTCGAGACCAGCCTGGCCAACATGGTG